CAACTTAATTTCAATCACATACCAAAAGTACCTGTTCACTCCCATGCATTTTTGGTTATTAGTGTCACAATTTACATCTTTTCTATTCGTATCCATTAGCAAATTATTTTAACTATAGATATTTTTAATACTTTTATATTTTAACTTTTATATTAGAGTTCAATGGGATTTACATATCACCATTACAGTATTCTGATTTTGAAAATGAACTTATCTCTACCACTGTGTATTATATCTTTACATGTTTTTATGTTGCTGATTAATGTCTTTCAATTTCATTTTGAAGAACTCCCTTTTGCATTTCTTTTAAGACAGTTCTAGTGGTTATAAATTCTCCCAGCTTTTACCTCCCTGGGAGTCTTCCTTTGTTCTTCATTTCTGGAGAACAGCTTTGACAGGTGTAATATTCTTGGTTAGCACATATTTCCTTCAGCACTTTGAATATCTTATCCTACTCTCTCCTGGTCTGTAAGATTTCTGATGAGAAATCTACTGATAGCATTTTGAAGCTACCCTTGTATGTAACAAGTTGCTTTTCTCTTGCTGCTTTCAAAATTCTTTGTTTTAGACTTTTGACAATTTGATCATAATGTTTTTCTATAAAGATCTCTTTTTACTCAACCTCTTTGGAATCCTTTGGGCTTCCTGGAGCTGTATGTTTGTTCCACTTTACAGAGTTGGAGAGTTTTCTGTCATTGTATCATTAAGTAAGCTTTCTTCCCCTTTATCTTTACTTCTTCTTGAACACCAATGTTTATATGCGTTCACTTGATAGTGTCCCATAAGTCCCATAGGCTTTTAAAAATTGTTTTTCATATTTTTTGTGTGGTTGTTCCTCTACTGGATAATTTCAAACAATCTGTCTTTGAGTTCATTAATGTTATTCTGCTTGATCAAGCCTGCTATTGAAACTCTCCATTAAATTTTTCAGCTAAGACATTGCATTCTTTAGCACCACAATTTTTGTTTGGTTCTTTCATTTGTTTCTTAAGGTTGAATGTCTCATTTTGTTCATATATTTTTTAAAATTTAATTTAGTAGTTTATCTTTCTTCCCTTGTAGCTCACTGAGCTTTAAGGTGGCTATTTTGAATTTTTTGTCAGCTAATTTGTAAATTTTCATTTCTTTGAGGTCAGCTACTAGAACTGTATTTCATTCCTTTGGTGATATAATATTTTCTTGAATTTTCATGTTTTGAATTTCTTACTTTTTTTGATTCTTCATTTTCTTGAATTTTAAAAAAGATGTCTTCAAATTTGAAGAAGTAGTCATCTTCTCCAGTATTTACTGACTGGCTTTGGGCCAGAAGGATCTTTACCAGTGAGCCTGGTTAGGGATTCTGGGAGTCTCTCAGAACTTTCCTATGGATGCATGTGCTCCATTCTTCTTATTCCTTATTAAGAAAGAAATCTTAGGATTGTGTGCCTTCTCTCTATCCCACAAAACCAGGCCTGGTACTGATGGCATCCAGTTTATATTCCCTAAGGCAATACCCTGAAGTGCTTAATGTTGTACACCTTCTCCCTCACCAGTAGAGTCAAGCCAGATGCTAATATCTGTACGTGTTGAGATCCATGTGCTATCTGAAGGAGCTTGTGCAGGCCATGCACAGGGATGTACAGGGTGCTGTCCATAGGAGAGAGTGGCACAGGGTGCTGGGGAAGTTCATCACTTGGTTGTGGGTGTCCTCATGCAAGTCATCCTGTGGAGTTCAGTGGCGGGTCTCTTGGAGTCTATGAACTGATTATTAGAGATTGTGACTGGCTGTACAGAATTGCACACCAGCTGTTGTGTACTCTCTTCTCCCTGCTCCTAAGCTTATTCCTTCAGTGTTCTGGGTGAAGTGAGACAGAACAGACCTCCCAGCTAGCAATTCACAGGACTAGAAAAATTAGAACACACATCATTCACTTTCCCTAGTAGTAGAAATTGCAGGCCAATCAGGCCTCTCTTGGTACCAACTTGTGCCACCTTGGGGTAGGGGTGACATGGATAAAGTGAAGCTACTTATCCTGTTTAAGGAATAAGATAAGAGGAAAAGCTTATCCTGTTTTTGCTCTTGGATTTTTTGTTCCACTGCAGTGCTGGAAACTCAGCCAGACCCTGGGGCTTCCATAGAAGTATTCTTGTCCATGGGTGGTTACCAGAATTGGTGTTTCTGTGGAAATGAGAGCTGAAACCTCCTAGTATGCCATCTTATTGATACCATTTCTGTCCTTTTTCCTTTCAATTTGTAGAGTTGACTTTGACATTTATCAAGTTAATATCATATCAAGTTTATTAACTGATATGTTTCTGAGCACTATGTGGTATTCCAATTGACTTTTTCCTTTCTCTAAGGAATCTAAATTTCTGCTTGTTTAAACTTACGGTTTTGGCCAGGCACTGTGGCTCATGCCTATAACCTCAGCACTTTGGGAGGCTGAGGCAGGAGGATCACTTGAGGCCAGGAGGTCAAAATCAGCTTGGTCAACATGGCGAAACCCCATCTCTACCAAAAATACAAAAATTAGTCAGGTGTGGTGGTACTCACCTGTAATCCCAGCTACTTGGGAGGCTAGGGCACAAGAATCTCTTGAACCTGGGAGGTGAAGGTTGCAGTCAGCCAACATTGCACCACTTGCACTCCAGCCTGAATGACAGTGTGAGACCCTGACTCAAAAAACTAAATTAATAAACAAACAGGTTTTATTGCATACTTTAATGTCTGCTATGGTACACCAACCTCACCCACTTTTGATTTTATTGTTCAAAATTTCAAAATGGATGTGGCAATTCAGAGTCTTATTTTTCCAAATGTATTTTTAAGTGTTTGTTGAAATCTTCAAAGCATTCTTTTCTTATATGTTTTGAAATACATTTGTAGAAGGTGTAAAAGTTTCTGTTGGCATTTTATTTTAAGCTGTCCTGAATTTCTGGATTAAATTGGAGGAAAATTGACATTTTTGTCACATTGACTCATCTCATTCATTAATGATACGATATAATGTAACATATCTCTTCATTTGTGCATACCTATTATTTGTTTTTCTATTTTTTATAATTTTGTCAATAAAGGTCTTAAGCACTCTGTTTTGGATTAATTCTTAAGTACTTTTATCACCTTGTGACTGTGTAAGTCAATACTCCTTAATAAACTCCCTCTCATATGTCTATCTATTCTATTAGTCCTGTCCCTCTAGAGAACCCTAATACACCTAGTAATGGATATTTACAAACAAATAAGCAAAAAGCTGCTGCAAAATTATGCATAATAAAACTTTTGAAAGCTTTCTCTTTGAAATCAAAGACAAGACAAATATGCCTACTGATGTAGTTTTGATGTTTGACATCTCATCACATCTCATTTTGAAATTTGATCCCCAGTGCTAGAAATGGGGCCTGATGAGAGCTATTTGGATTGTGGGCTTGGAGAAAGGAAGCCAATCTGAGTCCCAAAACCTCAAAAGTAGGGAAGCTGACAGTGCAACCTTCAGTCTGTGGCCGAAGGCCCAAGACCCCCCCTGGTAAACCACTGGTATGGGTCCAAGAGTCCAAAAGCTGAAGAACTTGGAGTCTGATGTTTGAGGGTAGGAAGCATCCAGCATGGGAGAAAGATGGAGACCAGAAGACTTAGTCAGTCTAGTGCTTCTTGGTTCCTCTGTCTGCTTTTATCCCAGCAGCTGATTAGATGGTGCCCACTCAGATTGAGGGTGGATCTGCCTCTTCTAGTCCACTGACTCACATGTTAATCTCCTTTGGCAACAACCTCACAGACATGCTCAGGAACAGTACTTTGTGTCCTTCAATGTAATCAAGTTGATACTCAATATTAACCATCATACTAGGTTAAAGAAATGCTCTTTTATTCTTAGTCATCCATAAGTATTATAATGCCTGGATGTTGAATTTCCTTAAATGCTTTTTCCTTCACTTAGATAGAAGATCAAATGCTATTTCTCCTTTAATTTGCTAATATGATGAATTACATTAATTGATTTATTAAGTTAAAACAGTCTTGCAGTTTTGGGATTAAATCCAATTTAGATACAATATATTATCTTTTTCATATATTAATGCATCTAGTTTGCTAATATTTATTTTATGGATTTCGTATCTATTATATATTACATAAGATGCCATTATTTTATATGTCACTATGAAAGAACAAAAACACTGTCAATGAAAGTATGACACAACACTTTAAAAAAAAACAAAATTTTTTATCATTCTCTGATACTGGTGGGACTATGCCTAAAATTCCACCATAAACAGGATGTTTGTTTTGTTATAAATCTTTTAAGGATGTTTCCTTGTATTTCTATTTTTCTTGTGCTTTTAAAAATTATAAATAGATTTTGAACTCTATGAAACATTTCTTTGGTACCCATTGAGAAAATCATGATAGCAACCTACTAGTGTGTGAATTAACTTATTGATTTGCTAATGTTAACTACACTTTTAAGGGTTTTCTCCAATAAACCTTAGCCTATGTATTGTATTTTTTCTATGCTACTTCTGTTGGTTAATACATTAAAAAAAATTATATCTAAGTTATGAGTAACATGGGCTTATAATTTTCTTTTCTAGCCTTATTTGATTTAAAATTAAAGTTACTCTAACTTCATAGAATTTTTTAAGTAACTTTTCTTCTTTTTCTAATTCCTGGAATTACTTTTCTAAGACAGGCGTTATCAGTTCTTCAAAGTTGGCTGCACTTTTTTTATATAATTTTTTGGGCCAGGATCTATTTGTAGTTCCATTGCAATGTGTCATATGATAAATAGGAAATCATCTTTCTTTTACAGTGAATTTTTAATAAATATAAACCCAGATATATGATGTTACAAAGGGAATAAGATACCATTTAGCTATACACTAAAATTTAGACAATAATTATTGCACTACATATACTTTCGAGTCAGCCTACCTAATGGGTTACACAGAAACATGTACAATATTCAACACCAGTGTGTTTCATCTTAAGTTCTCTCACAATCTCTGCACTTTTTACCCCTTAGGACATACGGGACGGTTATTAAAGTCTCTCTGCTTCACCAGTCTTTCCTTCCTGCTGCTGCACATCATCTTCCACATCACGTTGGCGAGTCTTGAAGCTCAACATCGTATTGCACCTGGCTACAACTGTGAGTATTATGGTGATTTCTTTCTTTATGTTATATACATGTGTAATAAAGCTGTGTGTTATCACACACATAGAAACCTATGCAATAATTAAATTATAAAATTCATGGAAATTTTTGGTCTTTGGCAATGCAGTGTAAATATATAAAAAGAAGCTTTGCCATAGAAAATTGGGTCATGAGATTAAGTTTATTAATGACTCTTCAACATGTGTTGGAGATCATCCCCTATCTGCATGTAAATCATTATCATTGAGCTGAACCTAAGATTCAGTAGTTACAGACAGCCCGTCGAGCTTTCAGTATAGTCAGTTAAAAAAATATATACAATTTCTAACGTAATGAATAAGAGTATAAATTTGAATAATATTATATAAAATTATATGGCAATGACGTTAATCCTATTATAAAGTACAATGTAAGATTTCTCATGTTTTTATGGGAAAAATGTAATGACACATGTAGTTTCTCTTTCATATTGGAAGTTTTTTTTATTGATATTTAAAGGGAAGCAGTATTTCTTAGACATCTTATATTTTGAAGTTATGATCTGAAAGAGTCAATATACATATTTTATCTAGATAGTATTATCTTTTGAAAATGTGCCTGTCATTGAATAAATCATGCTTCAGTTTTTGTAGGATGTGTGATTGTTACTTGAAAAAATAGAAGCATTTCCAATAGGTAAAAGCAATTATATGTTTTCCGTTAAGTTACGGAAACCCTGAGATATTTGAAATAGACTGTAATAACAGTTGTAACTTGTCAGTTTTTCTTTGAAGAACCCATTTGTGGGATTGAAATTTCCTGACCTTTCACAAGCACAGGTAATATGAAGCAAACCCACTCTTCCCTGTAAAGTAAAAAGGAAATAAAAATTCTTCATGGATCAAAGAGTGTTTATTTAAATACAGCGAGGAATCCTTCAGTAAAATTTATATTCATAAACTAGCCATTATCCCTCACTGTATAGATGTTAGAGAGCTAAAGTTAGTATTCATTTCAATCATTTTATCGATTTCAGAGTTATTTTGATAACAATGCCTATCAAGATGATTTTTTAAGATCTATTTTTAAGGTATTTTTTAATTGAAATATAATTCACATATTATAAAACTCAACCATTTGGAATATATAATTCAGCAGTTTTTAGCATATTTAAAAGGTTGTGCAGCTATCACTACTAATTCCAAAACACTGCCATCATCCAAAGGAAACTGCATACCCTTGAATAGTTATTTCCCATTCCCTTTCCAGCCATCTCTAGGCAACCACTAATCTACTTTCTATCTTTATTAGATTGGCCTATTCTGGACATTTTGTCTATATGCAATCACACAATCCGTGACTTTTGTATATGACTTCCTTAATTTAGCATAAAGTTTTCAAGATTTGTCAATGTTGTAGCATGTATCAATACTTTAATCCTTTTCCTGGCAGTATAACAGTCAGTTGTTAAAATGTGGTTCTCATGTTTGTTAAAAACCACGTTATCCCATTATTAAAGCCTTCATGAAACACAGTGTTTAAATAAGGGTATTTTGGTTATGTTACCTTGATAAAAAGCATTTACTATATTTGGCCAGGTTCAAATCTTTCTGGACTTAGTAGAAATGTTAGCAGCAACAATGCTGATAGTAGTATTGTCTTACAAGATACAGTGCGTATTAACCAAAAATCCTTTGGCTGTTTCTTAACAAGGCACTCTCAGGACCATAAGGAAGAATCTTATAACTAAAGGTGTTGTCTAGATAAAAGGCTTTTTCAAAAATGATAAGTTCTTCATCATTAGAAATATTTCATTATAGGATGCATTACAACATGAAATTTTTAAATTTTGAGCATATATATATATAACTTATTCATGTATGCAAAAAATTTTAGGTTGCTGAGTAATATAGGAATGTGGGTGGAGGGTAGAAGTGAAATTTATGATCTCTTTTGACTCACAGAGTCTAAGTGTTTCTATTTTGGATTGATGATTTTCCATAATTCTACAAAGATCAAAATAAAAATGCGATATGAAATGCTAAAACAACATTATTTTCTCTGCATTTATAACTGCAGTTACTCTGTTTATGTTCTCCATAGGGTATAGACAGAAAAGCAAGCTTACACACACACACACACACACACACACACACACACACTTGTTCTTGCTTTGGCTCCTTCTCCAGCAAAAATTCAAAATACTTGGACACTTCAGGTGGGACCTCTATTAATATCATGCAGAAGTCTGTATTTTCCAGTGGTGAAGGGAGGTGGCCATCTCAGCTGTAGTCACAGCTGGCCCCTTGACCTACCTCTTCCCAAGCCTTCCTTGCCCAACCAATATTAAGGAGCTAGGTCTGCCCCTCCTAACCTCACTCCTAAATATATGGGCTTTGTGATATTATGATATTTCCATGTCTCTGTCAAAGATATTTTTTATTCATGCACAAATGCCCTCTACACTCATCCTATACTGCAATATATTTGAACATGTCAGTGTCTAACATAACATCTTCCCTTTCCTTTTTCTTTTGCTGTCCCCAGATGAAAGCTCTATGCTGTTACGAGTCAATTTAATAGAAGTCATAATAGTAAACTTTATTTCCGCAAAGTTAAATTCCAATTTGAAGTTTATTTCTACAAAAAGTTATAGTTCCAATTTAAAGTTCCAGTATTTTTGATGAAGTAACCAGTAGAGAAGGCATATGTGAAAGACTGAGGGGGGAAAAATTGAGTTTTTTACTTCCAGCCATACTAATCTTGAAGGTGGGTTTATAGAAATCACAAATTTCTCCTGAAAGCCTAGTGATGCCTGTAATCGCATTGGCTCATCAGGTGTTGCAGATTATTTTTGGTTTAGTTTTATGTGTAGCATTTAAAATTAATACATTCTTGAAAAGGTATAAAAGGGAAGAACAAACAAACTTCAGAGCTTTGCAAACTAATTTAGTCCAAGATTGACACAGACCAGGTTTTCAGCCCAGAGCACTTTTTAATGATCAAGTTATATAAACTGAAAATACTGTTAGGGTGGGTAATGGAAACACTGACTTTTTAATTTAGAGTTGACTTCACTTCACTAATGTTATTGTTTCTCAAGTATTTGGAATTATTATTATGCCATCGGAGTTGTAAACACAAGCTCAATTATTTCAATGTACCAAATTTGAAGTTTATCCTTTTTTGGCATCTGCATAGATAACATAGCAAAAATTCAAATAAAAAGACAAAAGCTGTCTTGGCCATCAGCGTCGAACATTTTGAACGTTTTCTCTATCTTCAAGACATTGGTAAATTAAAATTAAAACCCAGGTAAGTCAGGTTATCGAATCATATTCAAGTAGAATTCAAATTCGAGATCACCATGTGCTCCTTTATGTGTGCTGAATTTTGAATTTTGTTTTCCTAACTACTTATTTTCCCCATTTAAAACGCATACCCTCACCCTCATTATCACAAAAGGTTCCAGCATCTCTTAGGAATCTGACAGAAGTTTTGGTGGGACAACAGTAGCATTTATAAATATTGAGTCATTGAAAGTTCTTGTTACCTCAGAGTCCTGTGAATATTAACTGGCAGTAATAAAGATTTTTTCAAACCACCGTATTTAGATTTTGACTAGTTGGCAGGTTTGATAAAGGTGCCATTGTGCAGTACTGTAACTTAACACCACTCCTTTCTACCTTTTTTTTTTTTTTTTTTCATTTCCAAAACAGTGCTCTTATAGGTAAGTGAGGAGTCCATGGGGCAGGGGAGACCTCTGTAAATATTGCTCAAACATATGTTGTGCCGCTTACTAAAACATTTTCATTCCACCAAAACTATGCTACTTAAATAAATGTAAACCCGGTTTCAATTATGTCATTACAGATTACATAGAAGTAGTTTGTTTGACTCCGTGTTAGATTTGTGGCAATGTTAGTGAAATTTGAAGCCCGGTCTGGATTCTTGTGCTGTGCTTAAAGCATGCTATTGATTGAAAGAAACTTTTGAGTTAGCAACTATACAGGAAAAATTTGTGATGTTAATATCTCCTGTTTATAGAGCATTTATGAGCCATAAGACCCCATGGATTATTCTATTCCTTTTTCAATTTATGACTCCTTCCTTTCTTGTTCCAGGCAGGCTTTGCTATTCTTTAAGTAAGACACTCCCTGTATCCACGCACTGCCCTATTCATTCTCTAAACAAGTCCTTAGGGTGGACAAGGCTATGGAGCCGGACCACTGCGGTCTGTGTGCAGGCCCCAGCCTGAGGAGGAACTGAGCAGGAGAGTCCTTTGTTAGGCTCCATCCAGTGGGAGACAGTGGAATCCTTTTATTTATGTCAAGAGGCTGGTCTCCTGGCCAAGCCTTGCCCATGGAGGGCTACGCCTTTGTGTAGTCTCTTCTCTCCAAGACGGTGCCCTTTTTCTGTATAAACGCAGTGCCCAACTTGCAGGTAGTGCTGAGGTAGGGATTACAATGAAGAAACAGGCACTAGAGGCCAAATGAATTGCAGGAAGCCATTGCGTGTCTCAGCTGGAGTCTCAGCACAGATCCGTCTGGCCTTCCACCCTCTCCCCATCTTTACGGAGCTGTTTATTCATCGTGTGTGTAAGATTGTTTCCTCCACTGTGGTTCTTAGGACTTTAGATAAGTCCATTTTCAAAGGACTAAAATTAGCTATTCTCTTATTCGTCCAGCTGAATATTTTCTTTGCATCCTTCAATGGCAGCATTCCTGGTTGGATTCAGCTTCCCCCAAAGCTTACACCCTCAGATGCATTGCTCTTTCGCCCTGCAGGAGGAGGGTCATCCAGAGTTTCATCCTTTCTCATTCTACAAGCGCATGAAACTTGCTCCAGAAGCCCACCAACCAAGAAGTTAGGACAGGCCTCCATAGTTTTTTTTCCTGACATGCTTCTGTCCTTGAAATGCACAAGGCTCCCAATGCCAAGGATCAAGGTACATCGGCCTGTGATAAGAAGACCGAGGGACAGACCCAGCCTGGCAGTTTATCCTCCCATCCCGA